ATGACACTCGCACTTTACCCACAGCAGGATCTTAATGTTTGCCTAATATGTTGGGTTTGCTTATCACGAGAAGAAAGATGTGCATAGTGTTATGGGAAATAATGCGGAAACGAAGAACTTCATACAACAACAATCAAATACAAAAGATTTACATAGTTCGATGTCAAATTGATTTGCCTGCGTCCACGGAGAGGGAGATTTCACCGGATGTGAATGAAAAAGACTAGGGGTTACAAGTTCTGCACTTCTCATCATAACTCACACATGAGTCTTAAGTCCCTTTTATAAAGGAGGACTAGGGCATTCAAGTAAATAAAACCAAAAGACTTAATTGCCCCTTATTAAAAAAAAGTCATGAAATACAACATATAGTTTGTATAACACTAAGATTAAAGTCTTCAAAACCCAATATATCAAGAAAGGTGTATATGTGTACTTGTCTGAGAGATTTAAAATATGGACAATTTTTTTATCTTCAGGCTGAGTACAAATTCAGTTTGTCGTGCCAATTGCGTTGCAAACAGGATTTTGAGAGTTCTAAAAGGTTTCATTTTAAACTTAGTGGTGTGCATTGTTGGCAAATTTTTTGGCAAGATTGAGAGTACACAAAATATTTCACTTCTTTTCTTGTATTCTTCTTTTTTCATGCATTGATTTCTTTTTAAAACTATATCTAGAGAGAGGTAGAAAGATAGAGAGAGAAAGAGTGGGAGAGGTTTAGGGAGAGTGAAAGAGGTAAAGAGAAGAAGAGAGTGTTGTTTTCGACAAATTGATTGGTTGGATTTGAAGATGACATGCGAGAGCAAGCAGTTAAGAGATTGAAAAGTGTTGACGATCATCAATTGGCTTGAATTGGTTATTTTTCGGCGATCAGGAGCAAAGATGGGTTTGTGTTGGTCTAGTGTAGAGGGAGAGGTCGTCATCGAAGAGTGCTTTGTAGTGATTGACAGATGGGATCGTTAATGTTTGGTAGAGAAGAAGGTTGGTTGGTGCACAACGACGATGGTTGAAGGCATTTGAAACAAAATTAATAGAAATGGAGGCTCGTTTTTATGTTTTTTAATAAAGTTCATATGACCTTTCACGTTAGAGAAGATTCAAAGGATTGTGGTGCCAAACAAGGAATAGGGTGTGGGTATGTATAAAATATTGCGTCCGGAGTAAGTACATTGTGGACTCCAATAATACAGTGTCATTTGTAAAATGGTGGGGCTTAATTTTTGCGAATTAAAAAAAATATAAAAAAAGTTATTTTTTTCACGTGACCCGACCCGAAGCCCGCCTGATGGTATTATTGGGATATTATGGTATTTTGGTGCTATTCTTGTGATATTCTGGTGATCTTATGATGATATTTTGGTGATATTCTTGTAATATTATGATGGTATATGGTGGCATCATGATTGTATTATGACGATATTCTGGTGATATTCTGGTGTAATATGATAATATTCTGATAATATTCTTGTGGTATTCTTGTGTTATATTATGGTAATATTATGATGATATTCTGATGGTATCTTAGTAATATTATGGTGGTATTATGAGAGTTTTCTAGTGATATTTTGATGATATTATGATGATATTCTCGTAGTATTATTGCGAAATTCTTGTGCTATTCAGTTGATATTTTGGTGGTATTCTATTGTTGTACTAGAATACAATCAAAATATCATCAGAATATTGCATGATACTACAAAAAAACCAGCAAAATTTCACCATAATATTATTAGAATGCTACAACATTATCACCAAAATATAATCAAAATACCACCAAATTATCACCAAAATATCAAAAAAATATCATAATAATATCACCAAAATATCACTTTCTGTAATATTCTGGTGGTATTCCGCTGACATACCAAAAAACCACCCAGAATATCACCGGAAAACCACCCAAAATGCCACCCAAAAATACCATATTAATACCACAAAAATATCATATGAATACTCCCAAAATACCATCATAATATTAAAAAATAACACAAAAATTTGACAAAAATATCATTAAAATATGATCAAAATACCACAAAAATATCACTAAAATACTATCATAATACCTTAAGAAAATCAAAAGACTATCATCAAAATAGCATCATAATCTACCAGAGTAGCACCAAAATTTTATAAGAATAACACAATAATTATATCAAAATACTTTCATAATACCATCAGAATACTATAAATATACCACAAGAATATCACTATAATATCACCAGAAAACTAACAAATGGTATTCGGGCCGGGTAACGTGAAAAAATAGATTTTTTCATATTTTCTTAGTTAACAAAAATTAGGTTCTATCACTTTACAAATGATACTGTATTATTGGAGTCCGCACGGTACGTACTCCGGGCGCAATATTTTCTTGTAGCTATGTGAAGAAGTGTGAAACAGTGTTTGATCTGCCACCTGTTTTCTCTTTCTCTTGGCCTTGCTTTCTTTATTTGTTGATCTCACTCTATCGTTTCCATTTTTTCACCTGGCGATCACTCATTTCTTGGAGGCATCAATGCCAGTTCAATTTGAAGCAACATTAAGTGGGTTTATCTTTTACTTTTTTTTCCTATTATTTTGAGTTTTTTTAAATATTTTAGTTAATTACGTTAGCTTGTTTTTATTAAATTTATTGCAAATAATTTAGTCTCTCAAAGTTTTATTATATACATTAAATAAAGTATTAACAGGTGGCAGATCAATCTATCTTTAAACATTAGATTTCAACGGCTCAACTAAGTCTCAAATTATTCATAGCATTTTATTTAGTTAGAAAATTCTGATATTAAAACTTTATAATTTAATATAATAACCTGGTCGTTACAATAGAAAAGGGGAAAAGAAGGGCTAGCAAAGACCATTCAACAAGTTGTGTTCTAAATATCGAATACACTTTCTGCAATGTTAATTATAAAGCCATTGAAATGAAGAAGCCCTAATTGATGCTTCTGATCTGCATAAACATTCTAGTTGCTTGAACTTTTTATCATAGGATGTTGACTGTCTTATCCTGTTTATCATCTGTACGTGCCTCATTAATTAGATTCTGACTATGTTCTTTTCCCTGTTTTTTAGGATACTGCAAGTGAAATTGCAGCAGAATTGCATGGCACTCCAGATCTGATCATTGGGAACTACAGCGACGGAAACCTTGTTGCATCCTTGCTGTCATATAAACTAGGAGTAACTCAGGTTTGTAGTGTACATATATTGCTGTACATTTGCCTTATGAATTGATGTTTTGGTGACTTTTGTTATGTTTCATGCAGTGTACCATCGCTCATGCACTTGAAAAAACAAAATATCCAGATTCAGACATATTTTGGAAAAGCTACGAGGAGAAATACCATTTTTCTTCCCAATTTACTGCTGATATTATTGCTATGAACAATGCTGACTTTATTATTACTAGTACCTACCAAGAGATTGCTGGAAGGTAATTTTCATTTTCTGAGCATCTGAGTTCTTTCTTTTCTATTGAGGGTTAATGATATTGTTTTTTTAGAACAAATATTGTATAATCAGACAATAAAATAAGTCCAATTTCAAATAATCGCCAAGAATTGTTATCTGAAAAAGAAGAAATCAAAATACACCATAAAAAATGACTTCATAACATTAGCAAGTCCTAACCGAAGAGTATAAATTTTAGAAGGTTCTGATTTATAGCGTCCTTTTTTAAGACTAAAAATACTTAAGAATGTGTTGATAGATTTCTTTCAATTTCTTTCAATTTTGACGGAGATAAATTGTTCATAATTGGTTTTTATTTAGGTCATATCGGTGAAAAGACACTTTTGAAGAAGTCTAGGGGTTTATTTGTAAAACATTGTAATACTCTATTTAAGCTCATGTTATGAATGTACAAATGAGATTTTTGAGCAATTTTTTTTTTTTATATCAGAGCCTAACCTAACTGCCTCACGTCTTCGTCTTCTCAAATCACCACTATATCACAGGGTTCGGTCACGTCTTCGCCTTCCCAGATCGCGACTATATTGTAGGGTTTGGTCACGTCTCCGCCTTCCTAGATCGTGATTGTATCGCAAATTTGGTCGCGTCGTCGCCTTCCCAACGCGACTATGTCATAGGGTTCGGTTGGGAAGGGTTCTCTATACGCTGCGATCTTAGAGTTGCTTTCCCAATTGTATTGCGAGGGATTATGGTAGAAGAGGGCTTCTGTGATTTGATGTGAGAGCAAGGAGTGGAGCAACACTGTGCAAGGACAAGGGGAGGCGATAGAGAGGAACAAATAAGTAGAGATGTGTGACTTCTGCATACAAGATGTGGAGCGGATAGACAGAGAAATGTTGATGGGGATCTCGACCTTGAGGGTGAAGTAGATCAAGATCGGTTCAAGAAGAGGAAGGAAGTCGCGTGTGATCCAGTCTTGGATTCTCGTGAATGAGGGTGTCAGGAGAAGGAGATGGTGCATGAGATAAATGATTGGAAGATCTGGGGAAGATAAATCTTGAGATTATGACAGTCTTGATCGGGAAATAGCGTCTCGACGGGAGCCACCACCTCAGCATGCGCTCCGATATAGGTGAAACTAGATCTCCTTCTTGTGGATTTGAAGCTTGATGGACCGATCACGTATCTGAGTTGGTTGTGCTGGATCGAGACTACTAGGAAAGAGACTAGAAGGATATCTGACTGGAGTTAAGGCTGAGCCAGAGGGTGACAGTGTTGAGGGGGATGAATGGAGGACCACACATGTTTTATTTTACACATAGCTTCTCAACTTGATGGTTCTATTGATTGCCTCATCAGCAATGACATTGAAAAATGAGGGGCATTTGGGCAAAATTGAAGAGGATTTATGTTTGTATAGAGAACCACATGAGGGTGTTTCAGATTTATCATGAGATAGTAACAGTGGTACAGGGTGATAGATCAATTCAAAAATACCCCATAGATTTGGAGATGCTGTGGGCTGTTCTTGATCACTTTTCACCCATATTAAACTGTGACGATCCAGAGTGTAAGAAATGAAAGATCTTTACATTATTGAGGACTATGTAGTTTTTGACCCATCTGAACTCGGCCTTTGATCAGAGATCAATCCTCCTAGCTCTTGAGACCATTATTGGATGAGGCCATTGCTACAGGTGGTCAAGATCATTCACTGTGGTAAAAGTTTATGCTTCCGGAGCTATAGACATCCAAGATAAAAAAAACTGCCAAAACACTCCAGGTAAATGATCAAAGAATGACGTTGCCTTTAATAAATGATAGGATAGGCCTTAAAAAAGTCTCGACTTTGGAGCGATTCAAATTAGTAGATCTGGCATTGACTGACTGAGGATACTAAACCAAACACTAGTTTGGAGGCAACCAAAGCATTTCCTTGTAGTTTGATTGCGTGTTGGTGTTTTTTTTTTTTTTTTGCTTTGTAGTTTGCCTTTGATTTATAATTTTTTTGACTGAGTGCTTGTTTAAATGGTTTTCTTGTGTTTAGTTGAAGTGCATGTCTGTTAGGGTGGTTGATGCTTGCACACCTGGGTCCCTCGTATGACACTCGCACTTTACCCACATGTCGTGGTGTACCCATGCCTATGTGCCGCGATCGCACTACAGTTGTACAGGACGTGGAAAATCTAAGTTCCCTCCTAAGCGCAACTGCGTTGGTTCCATTATAAATCTTAATTTTCTTACTATCTTCACTCTGTTTTGCCATTTTTTACCTAGTCACACCCTTACCATTGCACGAGCATGTGAGAATGACAAGGAGAAGAGTGAGAAAGCTTGAAGAGGAAAATTTATGAGCTCTATGGCATTTTAAATTGAGGTCTCTTCCTTCCTTCACCCTTACACCGACATTTGCAATTTTCATTTTCTTCTCCTTCATTTCTTCTTTGAAATCCATGACACTTAAAATAAGGGATTGAGGAGAGATACCCCTTTTAATAACAAGAAATTTGTGGGTGTTGAAATTACTAGTCATTATAATAGTATCTTGATATCAAGGTAGATTTTGGAGAGAATTACCTTAGTCATTATAATACATTATCTCTATACTGGATGAGACCATTGCTGCAATGATGCATGAGAAGAGTCGCATGAAACTGCACTTTAAGCCAAGTGAATTTCTAGCTGCATGATCAACGTTGGCTTCCTCGAGCTCAGGTATGATATGTGTCCAAGGAAAACTCACAATTGCTATAACTGTAGTGATGTTGGACATCTAAGCAAAACTTATCCAAGGCGACCTAAGGAAGGAGAGATAGGTGGACGTGGGCAGGGTGGATGCCGTGGTTGAAAAGGTGGACAAAGGGATTACCAGGCAAGTTTGATGGTAGGAGAGGAGGGTGAGATAGGTGTGAGTTTTACCAATAAGGATCATGAGTATCTGGAGTTCTTGAAGTGGAAGCAGAAGGCACTAGGAGATGGGGCTGAGGATGCTTCCAACCCGTATCATCAAAGGGTAACATTATGGTAACATTATCACTTATGCTCACTTTGACAAAGATACTTGTGATACACATGCTCTTACATATATTTCCAGCACATGATCATCATAATTGATAGTAGATTCTGACGCATCTCAACACACATACTGCTAGAGTTTTGTTCCTATATTTCCCTAGCAGTCTGTAGAGCGTCTAGATTGCTAATGGTATAACACAACCTGTAGTTGGTAAGGATACAATGAAGTATCTATTATATGACTTTGTCTAATGTTTTAAATGCTTGTTTCTCAGTGAATCTTTTATTTATTAGCGTCATTATTTTTCAATTAAATTGTGTTGTTTCTTTTGATATTCTTAAGGTGATCTTCAAAAAAAAAGGTACAGGTCAGACACTTAGAACTGGAACATGACATGGTGGACTCTGGTGCTTGAACCAGAAGGTATAGACTCAGTTTTGACATCTATAGTAGTGTGTGATGGAGTAGGAAAATCTGGGTGTGGAGGAAGTGTTGCTCCTACATCAGAAATACGTGGGATATATATATATATATATATAAATCTCATCATAATATTCAAAGGAATGGTCAGAGACTATTATACGATCCCCAGTCATCCCTCTTACACCTAAGAATTTGAGTACCACACCCTACACTCAGGGAGAATCGAACCCCAGACAAGAGGAAACTTACAACTGACAAGCACATGTCCGACCAATTTATCTGAATTGCGCGCATATATATATATATATATATATATATATATATATATATGTATATATATAGATAGATAAATATAGTTTATTGAGCCGATTGTATCTTTCTTTGTATGAAAAGTCAAATAAACAAAAGCTTTTTAAAGATGTTTGTGAATTTGACAATTTTACTAGGATCTCTTATATCAGTTATGAGAATATAAGTTCTGGTGTTTTTTACTTGGTTCATTATGATATTTTGGGATTTTGTTATACAAGGTATATGAATGATTATCGACATTTTGTGACTTTTATTGATTATTTTTCTTGTGTTATTTTGTTATATTTAATGAAAAAAGGGCAATATATTTGTTTGCTTTAAAGACTCAATATGGTGTTGTAGTGAATGTAATAAAGTTTGATAATGGACATAGTGTACCAACAAATCATGTAGGGAATAGTTGTCAATTTAAGAGATACAATGTCAAACCACATGTCCATACACACCAAACAAAATAGAGTAACAGAGCGGAATAAGTAAATCTTCTAGAGGTTGTCTGAAGCATGATGATCACAATGAATGTCCCAAAATAATTATAAGGGTAAACAATTTCAATTGATCAACATGATACCATCGATGATGTTAAATTGAAAATCTCATTGTAAGATGTTGAAAGGAGATGAGAGCTAGATTCTCATTAAAGGTGTTTGGATATGTATGTTTTGTGAAGGATAACAGACCACTCGTAGAGAAGCTGAATCCTAGAGTTGTGAAATGTGTGTTTGTAGGTTATTCTGTTATCCATGAGGGATACTTTTGCTAGAACTTGATGGAGAATATTCTGTTTGTGAGCACGGATGCGTCATTTGGAAAGTTTGAACAATACTAAACCCAAGAGGTGACCTCACTCTTCGTTAACTTGCTAGATACTCTGGAGATATGAGGTAAGGCGTGGTGATTATCAATAGTAATAGAGTGGTACACGTGTGAGCAATGTCCTATCCTATCATGTAGGATGAATCAGTTGAGGAACCGACAAATGAGGAGAGTGAATCCAGAAGTGGTGGGATTTAAACTGAAGGTGATTTAAGTGTGTATATATAGAAAAGTAAGTACATAGAGAAGGAAGTAAAATGATGAAACGATGATTGCAGTGCCACTTGTGCTAGCTAGCCTCTTGTCCTGGTCTTCCGCGACTCTTGAGACATTTACACTACCACCTCTGACTCAAACTCCTAGGTGATATGACTTTTCTTTCTCCTCCAAACTCCTAGGTGATGAATTTTCTTTCTTCTCCTAACTCCTCAACTTTAAGTAGGACCTCTTGCAACAATATCGGACATCCTCTTGATCGTTTTAGGTGGGAACTTGACACTGCTAACTTTGTTTCATATTCAAATATGTCACATTTATATGGAGCATTCGTTGCATCTTTGAATACTGCTCTATACTAGCGTGTTAATAGGTTGTTAAGTAGGATCTCAAGTGGAAAACGACTATGCATGAAGAGATTAGGACTCTCGATAAAAATTGAAAATGGGAGTTAGTGTCACTATCGGTGGGAAAATGATACTTGGGTACAAGTAGATTTTCACAGTGAAGCAAACTCCAGAAGGGAATATACAACAGTACAAAACACGACTGGTGCAAAAGAGTATAACCGGACATACAACATTAACTATAATGAAACATCTGCACCAATAATAAAGATGAGCACAATGAGGACACCATTTTCTCTTGCATTGAATGATGGTTTATCGATTTGAAGAATGCATTTCTTCATGATAAGTTACTGGAGGAGGTATATATGGATATATCATCAGAATTCAATACAATCCAGATAATAGACAAGATGTGTGGGCTCTGAAAGTCAATGTAAGGATTGAAACAATCTCCTCGAGCCTAATTTACAAGTTTAGAAAGACTATGACGTGCATGAGATATCAGTAGATTAAAGCAGATCATACGGTGTTCTTTTGAGAACATAAATGTCACATCATTATACTTGTTGTATATGTTGTGGTATTATTGTCATCGATGATAATAAGATAAAGATTGTCGAATTAAAGGTATATTGGACAATAAATTTGAGATGAATGATCTTGGATAGCTGAGGTACTTTTTTGTGATTGAAGTGGCCCGTGAACCCGAGCGGATTGTATTGTCCAAGAAAAAGTATTAGATCTCGTCACGGAAACATGCATGTTGTGGTACAAATCTGCTGTCTCTCAAATTGACTAAAAGGCTAAGCTCAGTGCAAAGGCAGGAGAATCAGTTGATCATGAGAGGTACCAGAGATTGGTGGGTCGTTTGATCTGTTTGTATCACACTCGACCAAACATCTTTTTTGCAATGAGCGTGGCGAGGCGAGCCGCTACATGCATAATTTAAAGAAGGGTCACATGGATGTAGTGTATCAGATTCTGAGGTACCTGAAGAGTGCACCAGAGAAGAGGTTGGTCTTGATGAAGAGTGTGCATGTCGACATTGAGGGATTTAGTGACACTGACTGGGCGAGTTGTGCAAATGACAGACGATCTACCTTAGGAGATTGCATGTTCGTAGGGGGCAACTTGTTCTCTTGGAAGAGAAAGAAATAGTGTGTAGTAATTTGCTCAAAAACAAAGGCAGAGTATATGGCTATGACCTTAGAAGTTGTCGAGTTGATGTGGTTGAGAGCCTTTATGATCGAGCTCAAGGAGAACCAAGAAACTTAAATGAAGTTGTGGCGTCACAACAAGCCAACAATCGTCATTGCCAATAGCTCGGTGCAACACAATAGAACCAAACACGTGGAGATTGATAGATTCTTCATCAAGGAAAAGTTCAATAATGGGCTACTGGAGCGAAGTCATGTATTCACTGGAGAGCAAGTGGTTGGGTGCCTCACTAAAGGACTTTATTCATTAGGTTTGTCTAGTTTATGTGGCAAGATAGACTTAGTTGATATCTTTTGTCCATCTCAAAGGGGAGCGTTGAGAATTGAAACTTATTTAGGGTTCTATTGGTAAAGTGAGAATATTGAAGAAGTCTAGGGACTTATTTGTAAAACGTTGTAATACCTATTTAATCCGATGTTATGAATGTAGATATGAGATTTTTGTGCAATTCTTTCTTTTGAAATTTAAAGTTTATATGTACTTTTTCTTTTATTCTAGGAGTAATATCATTAGAGTTAGAAAAGTATGAAATTGGATCATCAATGTCCCCAATAACAAAATAATATGAGGAGCTAATGCATACGATGGATCTGGAACATTAATCATGTATCCAGTTAAGGTATTCTCTTTTTTCACTTATTTTCTAGCCCAAAATTTAAACATGAAATTGCTAATTTAAATTTTTGTGAGTTGTCAACAACTTAGTGAATATTCATATTCTTGATATTGTAGTTACATAAAATAATTGATTAGCACGCAAGTTGATTAAATTCACTAATTCAGTGGAATATCGTTTGAATCATTAGTTATTCTAGTATATCATATAAAAAATTTTGAATCATTCTACTATAATATAGTAACAATCACATATCTCATATGTATGCTTTTGATATTATATTTCTTATATGTCCTCTAAATATATTATTTAAGATAATTTAATATCAATATTAATTTTTCAATTTATGTGCATGAGTATCTTAGCGTACATATTTAATACCATAAAGAGGTGAACTTCATTAGTAGCATGCACATGCAAACATTATTATATAATTTATTGTATTCAACATATTTTTATAGTAATCAATATATAAAAACTAAATTAAACATGGTTAGAAAATTTATGTTATTCATTTTAATACGATCAAATCATTTAATGTAACACGTAATCATAAGTAAATTTATTGTGATAGTCTATCTTAAACAAGTATCAGACTATCTTATGCATTTGTTTTAGAGGAATTAGCAGTATTGCTATAAATAGAATTATGAAAACATATCTCAAAACTTTTTTTTCTTAAAGAATGGCCGGAGGTTATTATACGAGCCCCCAACCACCCACATGTGTCACAGGGGGATTCAAACATGTGACCTCAGGGAACTTACGAGCTTCAAAGAGTCCGCTCTATCAACAGGCCACAATTGCGGCACACACATCTCAAACCCATATTATGCAAACATATGTCTTAATCTTGTTCTTATGCTTGACCTTACAAGTTAGGGTTACCTATTAGTTATTTAAATATAAAGATAAGATGCTTATGCTATATAATTATTTGATTTTTTTTCTTCATCAAGTTTAATTTCTATTCATCCGACCTTGGTTGAAGTTATTATTTCAATCTTATAAAGCTTGTTTTAATTTATAATATATTTATACATGCTACGTATCAATAATTATTATTATGAACTATTAATATTTATTTAATTGATAGGATTCTAATAATGATCTTTTTTCTAGAAAATTTGTATTGCAACATCAATTTATTTAATTTCTAAAATTGATTTATTAATTTAGTGGAAAATTAAATAATATACAACCAATATTCATGTTTTTTAAAACAGTTTAATTAGTAATATTAATTTTATAAGGTCATTTCTTAAAAAATTATATTTATAAAAATTTATTTTAAAACTTGCCCCAACTCAATTGTTGCTCACATGTATTTTTTCACTAGTACACTTTGTTCGACCCTCCTGCTCGCTGTTGTTGTGTCTATTCTTTTTTGTCCACTCGACCACATTCGCTTTAACATGCGCCTACTCAAATACTCGAACTCTGTCTGAGCTGTACTTGTCATCCCAGACTTTGAAAAAGAGATTATCATCGGGGGCCTATCATTTCATTGGCATCAAAAGCAATCATATTTCTTCGTCAAGTTGGTATTTCCTTTTTTAGTGACCATACCCTCTTATTTAGAAAATTTTGTTGGAGCAAGAAAAATGTGTAATCATTTACCGCTTATGAAATTAATTTGTCCTACTAAGTAGTTCACTCGTTGCCCTCTATCCAATGACTCATTTCACTACATGCATCTAATCAAATTAGGGATATTTAAAGCTTCAATGCAATAATTAGTTTAAATGAAAATGTCATTGATGATCTAGCCATTTTTTTCAGAACCCAAGTATTATTTGGACAACTGTACGTGAATTCTTGTCATTATTTTACTCTTTAATTATTATCCTACTTGAGCTTGTTTAGTTTATGCTCTATAATGTCGTAGATACTGAATCATTTGATTTTGTTACAGCAAGAATACAGTTGGCCAATACGAGAGTCACACTGCTTTTACTCTTCCTGGTTTATACCGGGTTGTCCACGGCATTGATGTTTTTGATCCCAAATTTAATATAGTCTCTCCGGGAGCAGATATGTCAATTTATTTTCCGTATTCAGAAACAGAAAACAGGCTGACTTGTCTTCACGGTGCCATTGAAAATCTGCTGTACGGCTCTGAGCAAAATGATGAGCATATGTGAGTTCTTATAGTGTATTATAGCCTAACGATTGAATATTTTTTATGGCTCTTTTTAATTTACCCAAAGACGCTTTTTTTGCTTCAGTTGTCTTATTGAGTTTCAATGATCTTTTTGTCAAATGTGAAGATGATATTTGAGTTCTTATGTCTTATTATTACTATTTCACTGCTCATAGTATTTCTGGTTTTTCTGTATTGCCTACATGCTTGTGAATATTTTAAATATTTTTACTTGAATCTTTGTCAATACCTTCGTACCAATTTTCTAGGATAAGAAATCTATTAACATTTGTGGTTAAGTTGTAACTCTGCACGAATGCATTTTTTCCATATTTGTTTATAATAGGATGGAAAAAGGAAAAAAACTTTGTTTTAAAATGATGTCTGAGAATCTGATAGGGAAAGTATAATGGGGCCATCTTTTTTTAGCGCCTTTTTTAATAGTAGATATTAATATCAAGCAGCAAGAACTGTGCCCACTTATTATTTCTACATTTAGTGAATGTTCCCACTCAAATATAACTTGAAATTTCTACTCATCCTAACGAAAAAATATTACCTCAGAAGTACTGATGCATCAGTACTCCAATGGTGGGGTGCCACGTATGCAATGGTCCCACCCTGGTGCCACGTGGCACCCCACTATTGAAGTACTGATGCATCAGTACTTTTGAGGTAATATTTTTTCCATCCTAACAGACCTCTTCTTTCTATCCAATTTTCAATAATTCACACAAAGGTCTAAAAAAATCTTCTTAAAAATATATTGTGTGATGTTTCCTTTCAGCCAATAATTATCAATGCCTAAATCTTCTACCTTGATGATAAATTTACCTTTAAGGGTTCATTTGGTGTAGCTTATTCGCTGCGGGGCATTTTCAAAACGCCACCAAAGGTGTTTATTTCCCGTGTCTAGGCTGCGTTTCACGATAAGTGGAATCCTTCTCTATTAAACTTCGGTCGCGGGTGGCCCGCTTTCGGAGAGAAAACTTTACTCCCCCACCCCTCTCGCGGAAGCATGGAGGAGGCACTCCTTCGAAGAACGGCCGCCTAGTCCTGTTAAGCGTCACTCCACCTCCACCTCTTCCTCCGGGAGCTACAATCCATCAGTCCTCTTCAACTCCTTCCTTCTCCAGCTTCTTCAAAAGACGCCTCACGCAACGTCATTCTCTTCCTCACACATTCTTTATCCCCACAAAGAGCTTTCCCCAAATTAATGGAGGAAAAGCAGCTAGACTTCGTACTAGTTCCTCTGGGCCTATTTGTCCTCGCTCTCTATCATGCGTGGCTTCTTTTCTCCGTCCTCAGGTGACCAAATACCACCGTCATCGGCCTCAATGCCTTTGCTCGCCGAGGATGGGTCCAAGCAATTTGCTGTTAAAACCCCTCTTCCCTTCTCTTCTTCCTACCCTTCCTTTCTTCAGCGCTTGTCTTGTTCTGCATTTTGTAAATTTTGTTAGCTTTTATAGCCTTTTGGTTATTTATTGTTTGACGGCTTTTATTGATTCGTGAACTTATATATATATATAT